GAAGTTCTGCCTTTTGCCCACTAGAGGGCGCTATGGTGCTAGCCCAGAGCAGCCTCAGCAGAAAATAACTTCGGCTTGAAAGTTGATGCAGTTTGGCCTTTTTCCCACCAGAGGGCACTGTGGCGCTGGAACAGAGGCACCACTCCTGGCTAGCTAAGGAAGAGAAAGAGCCTGTAGTGCCTACTTCACAGCACAGGGATGAGGGAGGTGCAGGGCCACATGGGGATTGGGGGAGGGGGTGCCGGGCCACATGGGGATGGGGGGAGTGGCTGTCTGAATGAGAGTGGAGGGACACATTTGGGCAGCGGGTTCAAAGACACATGGGGGTGCAGGGACACAGAGATGGGGCAGATGTGCCTGACTGAATCGGAAAGGCTAGGGGTCAGCCTGGATCTGCATGGGGGATGCTCCCTAACAAACCCTCCCTGCCCCCCGCCCCAAAGAATCTGCTCCATACTTTTCCCACTCATAACCAACAACCCCAAGTTCACACCCAGGCTCCTTCCCAGCAATTACACTTCCCTCTCCCTCAGCTCCTCTGTTATCCTTGACTTTGCACGGCTTTGCACGGCTTCTGAGCAGTTCAGGAAATACAGTTCTGTATTGTAGTTTAAATGAATTATTACTCAGAGTTCTGTATTAATATGCCTAGTAAGGAATCTATTTGTCAAAAAACACTTCCTGAATCTTTTTTGTTGTCTCTATTGTTATAGACAAACTTGCTGACGGGTATTTTGAAATAAATGACCAAAAATAACTGAAACTGGTGTGATTATATTGTGTTCTTTTGAGAAATAAAATATGCAGAATATTAAAATATTGTGTGCAGAATTTTTAATTTTTTGGTGCAGAATTCCCCCAGGAGTAGTTCTTTTCAACTCTCTGAATGTCCTTTTGGAACCTATAGTTGTATTTTCCAAAGAAGTTAAAAGGGTGATTACACAGCTCTGACAAAACAGCTGCTGCGTGTAATTCTGGACTACTTATCTTCTCCAGGAGTGTCAGCTCTTTTTTCAAACCCTCATTGATATAATTAGCCTCTCTCTCTCCTCTCATAAAGTCTTTATTATGGGTTTAGCAGACTGGAGACTCAAAGCTAAGTGACAGTCAGTACTAATAGAAGAAATAATGTCTGCAACCTAATAATAAAACTGAAATAATCATTTTGGCATACAAATAGATTCCAGTTTTAAGGATTATCAGAGTCAAAGTCCACTACTATATCTAAGGTTTTAGTTGCAATTTAGTCCAACAGCTTTTCCACAGAGTTGGGGAGGGTCTAATAAAATAGTTAACTTATTCTTAATTAATCCATTTTAATTTTCCATAAAGGTTCTCTTTACTGCCTCCTAACCCATTTTGAACTACTTTCTGGTTTGTGGCTGGTAGGAAAATAATCTTTATGCTGACTATAAAAATCTCTTTCATTTTTGTTACTAAGGAAATCCTGTGTTTGTCCATAGCTCCATAAGCTTTATTATAATCATATTCTTCTTGCCCGGATCCCTTACAGCTCTGTGTTCAAAAGGCCTAGCTCAATGAATATTGAGTCATCCTTCACTTTAAATGGCATAACATTCACTTTTTTTCTTTTAAATAAACATCCTACTGGAGCAGTTCCTTCTCCCTCAGGCAAGTCAAGGATTCTCATACTTTGGCATCTTCCTTGGATTTCAATCTGTTCTACCCAATTCTGTATCATCTTATCCTATTTATAGTTGAATTTGACAAAGACATCACAAGTTTGTTCCCAACAGTTCTCAATGTCTCTAACTCTTTCCTCTATACCATTCAAACAAATTGACAAGATCATATGTAGCATACAAAACTGCAACAGTGTGCACTAAAACAGACTTCCTTTTAGTTTAGCGAGCCCAGGGTTTATTGATCACTTCTAATCAGAAGCGCTGGGAGCAATTAGTTCAACTTTTGAAGCCAGTGAAACGTGCAAAGGTGGCAGTTCATCTCCTTTAGGGCCCAGAGTTTTAATTTAAAAAAGGGACACAGAAGACTGGGTTTGGTCATTCTATTATGTGAGACAGAGCAAATGAGTTGATCGTCTAATTCCCATTTAACACTCAAACTCATGAAATTGCAGGGGTGGGCAAACAAATTCACAAACACACACACACACACTCTCTCTCTCTCTCTTTAGGTGCCCTCTAAACAGCCCAGTGCTACTGACTTTACTGCCTAATTCTCTGCATTGTTATCAGGCTGTTTAAAGAGGCTTTAATACTATTGTAGGTATGTTTGGACTAGACTGTTTTGGTTGTGTTGTAACTCTAGTTAAACAACATGATTGTTTATTTGAGTTGATCTAGAGAAGTGATTCTCAACCTACTTGCAGCCCAATCAGCACCCAGCTGTGGCCCATGTGACATTCTCAGGGCCATAACTAGGGCGGAGCGGGAGCGGCACCCGCCCAAGCACAGAGCCAGCAGGAGGGGAGTGCAAAAATGGGGCAGTGCAGGATTAGGCCCAGCGTCAGCCCCCTCCCTCAGGATTGGGCCCAGCAGCATCGGCAGGAGGCCCCCCAGACTCTGCAAGATTGCAGGTCCATTGACCCCCAGCTAGAGCAGGCTCCCCGGCACTAGGACCACAGTGGCAGGTGGGAGGGGCGGGCTGGGCAGCTGAGTTACTGCTGAGGTAGGAGACCAGCCTGCACAGAGAGGAGGATGCAGGGGGGTAGGACCGTGGGGAGGGGGTGCAACCGATGCATGGGGGGACAGACTCTAGGTTGGGGACTGCTGGCTGGGGGCAGTCCCTGGATGGGGGGCTAGATACTAGGGCACAGTCCCTGAATGGGAAGGTTGAGTGCTGGGGAGGCTGTCCTTGAGGGGGCTGGGTGGGGAACTGGATGAAGGAGGGGACAGTCCGTGGGAGTGGGGGAGCGGTCAGCACTCAGCACTGGACAAGGCACCCTGTCTCTGCAGGGCAGGCATGTGTGCCAGCCAAATGTTGGGTGGGGGGCGGGGTCTGGATGCTGGGGGTACAGTTCCAGCTGGGTTGGGTGATGGGGGGCAGTCCCTGGCTGGGGGTTCAATGTGGGGAGGGGCTGGGGGGCAGTCCCTAGATGGGGGGCTGGGCGCATAGGAAGAAGTCCCTGGCGGGGGGAGGGGGGGGCGGGCGACATCTTTGCAGGCAGGCTCCGCAGCTGTGCTGCCAGCAGCAGCGAGGAAGGGAGGGTGGCAATACACCATATCATGCCACCCTTACAGTAAATTAATTCATTTTAACAGTTAACGTTTGACTTATTTTGCTAATTTAAAATGCACTTGGTAAACATTTGCCAGTGTTGAAATGAAAGGTACTATATCAGTTTGAATCATACTGCTGTCATTAACAAATACTAAATCTTATTTTATTTTTTTAGATCTACAAGTAGCATATATATATTGTGTGGATGTGGCCACATAACAAACAGAGAGCTGCATATGCGGCCCACAATGGTAAATAGGTGGAGAACCACTGATCAAGAGGAACTGACAGGTCTACTTATTTTAGTGTTTTAGAAAATAAATTGTTAAAGAGTGCTCAGAGCACTGAATGGGTGCTCTTATTACAGTTTGTATAAATCTACATAATAGCTCAAAAACTTGCCTCCGCCACCTTGGCAAGGACAATGCCAAATGACTGTAATTTTAAAAATACTAGTTTGAGTTTCAGAAAGCTGTTCATTTCCTAGGTAAAAAAAAGCAACTGTTTCAAACACTTCAGAATGTACACACCAGAGAGGGATGAAAAGCACACAAATTGCAAAATATAATTAACAAAACAGTGCCTTGCAGTTTCAAATACCTTGTGAACTTCCTTCAGATAAGCAGATTGATACTTCATCATTCCTATCATTATCATCTCCCACTTCAGTAGCAGTTTCCTCTCCTGGAGTAAGTGCTGATTTAGCACCAGATTCAGGATGGTCACAGAAATCAGCAGGGCCTCCTCTAGGGGGTGGGACTTCAATCCCCATTAAACGATATTTTCGTCTTCGATTCCCAATCCAAGTCTTATAGAGAGAAATACAAATGGATGATATCAGAAATAGTAACAAAAGTCACAGTCCTAAAACCATGAGTAATGAACATTTCTGTGTGACAGGGAGAGGGCAAGATCCTTGGCCCAATTTTCCCTGCTCTACCACATGCCAGTGGAACAAAGCAGCCCAAAATATAGTGGAGCTGGCCACCTTGGGATTTCCCACAGCATATTGTAAATCCTCCAGTGGTATAGCTCTATCTCATTCCCCTCCACAAAGAGGACATAGCCAGAGAAAACTGGGCAGAGCCAGAGCTGCACTATGCTTTAGGAGGAGTTGTCAGTGAAATTGCCCAGGGAGGTTGTGGAATCTCTATCATTGGAGATTTTTAAGAGCAGGTTAGATAAACACCTCTCAGGGATGGTCTAGATCAGGGGTGGGCAAACTACGGCTTGGGGGCCGCATCTGGCCCTTCAGACTTTTTAATCTGGCCCTCGAACTCCTGCTGGGGAGCGGGCTCTGGGGCTTGCCCCGCTCCACGTGTGCCGTGGCTTCCCACGGATCCCAGAAGCAGCAGCATGTCCCCTCTCTGGCTCCTATGCACAGAAGCAGCCAGGCGGCTCTGCACGGTACCCCTGCCTCAAGCGCTGCTCCTGCAGCTCCTATTGCCCAGCAACCGTGGCCAAAGGGAGCTGCAGGGGTGGCACCTGCGGATGGGGCTGTGTGCAGAGCCACGGCTCCATGTAGGAGCCGGAGGGGGACATGCCGCTGCTTCTGGGAGCTGCTTAAGGTAAGTGCCGCCCCGAGCCTGCACCCCTGACACTGTCCAGCGCCCCAACCCTCTGCCCCAGCCCTGATCCCCCTCCCACCCCCCAAACCCCTCGCTCCCACCCTCCTGCACCCCAGAGCCCGCACCCCCAGCCAGAGCCCTCACTCCCCCACCTGCACCTCAACCCCCTGCCCTAGCCCAGAGCCCCC